TATCATGTTTTTTACTAAAGGTTATGATGCATGATTTTTTTTTTGCTATATTTTTTTTGTTTGTTTTTTTTTTTTGAAATAAACTATCCTATATGATGCTTTGAGGTTTAGGTATATAGAAGGGAGTTAAAATTTTATCATTTTTTTTTATTAATATTTATTTGTTTGTAATTCTTATCCATTTGAAATAAATAAACACAAACAAATGCAACACACATATGCTCAAAAAAATGTACACCCGCGAACAGTCACGTTTAAATCCTTGGTATGTGGTTCCTGCAAGAAAAGTGCATTGTATAGGATAGTTCTAATCTCACTGGTCTTAAGGCCCCCAAGGTGCCCCCATTATAGGGACCCAGTATCTCTGTCGCCGTCACCTGGCAAACTCTAAGGTCTGTCGCAGTATTTCGGGCTAGAGTAACCGGTTATCACCTTGAGTGTGATTTCCGACAAGGCTCGCAGGCTCCAAGGCCAAACTTGGGCCGGTCGTACGTCAACCACTCCCTATGTTTATTACCCTCATGCCCCCGGGTGTAGGGGGAACTGTTGTGTGCAAAGGATTGTGTACAATTTTTATTTCAAACAAATGCTGAATTTAAACAGGCAAACAAATATTAAAGCCAAACAAATAAAGCAAACAAAGTAAAGGGGAAAAATATTTAAATTATTATTTTTATTTTATTAACTTCATCAATTAAATGGGCCTGACCCTCTTTAAACGTCCCCAGTGGAGTCGCCATCTGTCGCAACCCGAAAATTTTCGATCTTGCGACTAATGGTTTAAACATCCTTTTAAAGATCTCATCAATTAAGGAATGCCCGGACACCAGACTAATCCTTAATTAATGGTTTTGAAAATAGGTTCTATGGAGTCGCCACCAATGTTTTACTCAAAACATTGGAAAAAGAAAAGGTTTTCAAAAATCCAATAATGGCCTTGATAACCAGAATTGGGTTCGGGGGTCGGTTACGTGTAGGAAAAGTATTAAGCACCTCTACAACGCCCTTTAATTGGTACTCTATGATGAAGTTAACATTATAAATGATAATAATAAAAATATTAAATCCCCTTTTTATTAATAATTATTTACATGCTTGAAATTTAAATTATACAATTAACCCTAAAATGTCTACATGATTATTTTTATTATAACAATATTTATTATAGATAAGAAATAAAAAAAAGGAGAAAGATATTAACTGAAATACCTCTTGAATGAGCTCTTTTGAATCTTCAAAATAGGAAAATTTTAGGTGCTTTGTGGCAATCCTTCACACTACAATGCCTCACAAAATCTCAAGAAATACAAAAGAGAGAAAAAGAGAGAAAAAGGGAGAAATTTTGAGTCTTAAGGAGTCTGGACAAAATTTTTTTGGAGTTTTGAGAAATGAGCCCAAGCGGTCTATTTATAGCCTTCAGAAGGGGTCCAGAACGGCCCGTTCCGAAATCAGAATGGCCCGTTCTGGATCTGGCCGTTACGTGTTAATTTAGTGTATTGGAACGGGCCGTTCTGAAATTGGAACGCCCGTTCCGGAGGCGCGTTTAACACATAATTGTCATTCTGGAACGACCCGTTCCAATTTAAAAATTCAAGCCTTTTTTGTTATTTGGAACGGCCCGTTCCAAATGTAAATTTTAGCCTTTTGAGTCTCTGTACTCTTAATTCTCAATATTTTGGATCCCCGAGTTCACTGTTTTCATATTTGAAGTCCTCGTGCTCTTAATTCAAAATATTTTGGATCTTTAAGTCCACTATTTTTCATATTTTGAGTTCCCATGCTCTTAGCTTTTAATATTTTGGGTCCCCCAAGTCCACTATTTTCATATTTGAGTCATCGTGCTTTTTGCTTCGAATATTTTATATCCCAAAGTCCACTATTCTTTTGATATTTTAGGATCCTTATGGTTATTACTTTTAGATTCTTATACTCTCCAATGTATGCTAAATCCTCATGACTATCTTTCCTCTAAGTGGTGAATACACGTAACTTTTGCCCTAGACAAAATTGGAGTTTAAGTCTTTACTTATCTTTTACTACAATTATATGAAAACTACTATTATTCATATTCTTTAGTAAAATTTAAGTAAAGAGGGGCAACCATAAAGAATAATTTTATTCCACTAATTTTTCTACTAATTTATTTCCCAAAATTTTCAAATTAATGATTCAAAAACAAATAATTTATAAACTAGATTTAAACAAAAAAAAATATACACAATAATCATAAATAATAATAAAAAATCAGAAAACAAATCTTTCTCTGCACCCAAAATCTTTGCCATCCTACACTTTTTTGTACTGTTAATTCTCCTCCAACAAGCTTACCTCTGCCATAGCCACCAACATGTCCCTAAGAGCATGCTTCTACCATATATGCTTCCAAAAGCATGAGCTTGGACAAACTGTCAAAGCACAATTAAAACAGTAGTTGTCGCAACCCGAAAATTTCCGATCTTGCGACCTATGGTTTAGACATCCTTTTAAAGATCTCATCAATTGAGGAATGCCCGAACACCAGACTAATCCTTAATTGATGGTTTTGAAAATAGGTTTTATGGAGTCGCCACCAATGTTTTACTCAAAACATTGGAAAAAGAAGTGATTTTTAAAAGGTCCAATAATGGCCTTGATAACCAGAATTGGGTTCGGGGGTCGGTTACGTGTAAGGAAGGTATTAAGCACCCTTACAGCGCCCTAAATCGGTACCCTATAATGAAGTTAACATGATAAAAAATAATAAATTAAATATTAGATCCCCTTTGTTAATAACTATTCACATGCTTGAAATTTAAATTATACGAATGACCCTAAAATATCTACATGATTGTTTTTATTATAATAATGTTTATCAAAAATAAGAAACAAAGATAAAAAATAAAGGAGAGAGAAGAAGATTGACTAAAATACCTCGTATCAAGCTTTGTTAATGGTGATTCTACGTCCTTTGTGGCAACCTTTCACAATACAATACCTCATAATATCTCAAGAAATACAAGAGAAAGAAAAAGAAAGCAAAAAGAGAGAAAAAGAGAGAAATTTCGAGCTCCGGACGAAATTTGGAGTCCCTCAGAAATGTGGCCGAGATTCCTATTTATAGGCTTCAGACAGGGTCCAGAACGGCCCGTTCCGAAATTGGAACGGCCCGTTCCGGAGGCGCGTTTAACACATAAAGGTCATTCTGGAACGGCCCGTTTCAAATGAAAAATTCAAGCCTTTTTTTGTTATTTGGAACGGCCCGTTCCAATCTGGGAACGGCCCGTTCCAAACGTGTCTTTTAGCCTTCTTTAAAGAGCCTGGAACGGCCCGTTCCAAATTTGGAACGGCCCGTTCCAATTTTGGAACAGCCGTTCCCATGGAACAGCCGTTCCGATTTTGGAACGGCTCGTTCCGGACTACTAAAACTAGCTTTTTTGGGCTTTTAGCCTCCTGATGTCATGTCTTGATATTTCCATTATTGGGAGCTCATTTCCTTGATAATAGACGCTCATTTCTTCGTTTGTATGCCCCCCGGACGAAATTGGGTGTCTACAGTAGTGAGTCTATAAATAATAGAACATAACATGAACTGAAGAAAATGAAAAAATTTTGAAACAGAGAAGAACCCAGGGAACAACCAAATTTCAAACAGGGACAACTCAAGCAGAAGGCAAAAGAAGAGGCTAAAGTAGTGCAGGTATCAATTACTCTCTCTGATTTTTATTTAGTATGATGTTGTTGTTATTATATAAAATGCAAATTAATTTCTAATCAGTAAAACAATTTTTTTTAGTGAATCTTTTACAATGGAATTGAAACCCTCATTCTCATAAAGCATTTAACAAGTAAAAATCCAGTTACAATAGCAAAATAGATTAAAAAAAATAATAAAAAAGGGCTGATGAACAGTACCAGAGAAACGGTGCTTCCCGTGAACACCATCATGCACCGCTGTCGGAGGCAATTTCCGACCATCGCGAGTATCACCGTGCACTACCATGCGCCGCCATCGGAGGCAATTTTTGGTGGCAGCATCGTCGGCCTTTAGTCTCTTCCGTGAACCCTTACTATGCCTGACTGTGACGAACCGTGCACCACCATCAGAAACGATTTCCAGTGGCGGCAACCACCCTCCACCTTTCTTCGTTTCCCTCTGCAGCCATTTTCTCCTTCCCTCTACATAGCCGACCGTCCACCTTAGCCACAACGACGCCATGGCAGCCCGCGTCGTCAACGTCCGTGGAGGGAGGTTGAGCGCAAAACCCTAGTAGAGCCTCCCCCACTCCTCTCAGACCTCACCCTTTTCAATTTTTAGGGTTCCACTGAAATGGCCAAGTGCCATCTGATTCCCCCCTTTTCTTTCCATTTTGGGCCAACATATGGGTTAAGCCCATTCAACAAACAATTAATTAATTATTTTGGTCCAGCATATGGGTTAAGTCCATTTAACATACAATTAATTAACTATTTTATTTTTAAAAAAAAAGAGTAATCAGATAATATTTTACTAAAATAATATATTTTTTAGTTATAATTATAATAATATTATATACGTATATATAACAAATAGTATACATAATTAATATATATATATATATAATAGATTCTTACGTAATTTTATAGATTAGGTTATTACATAACCTTAATAATAATAATAATAATAATAATAATAATAATAATAATAATAGTTACTATAATAATAATAATACTCTTTTATCAATATTAATATTACTAAGATAGAACAAAAAAGATTATTTTTATGTGAAATTCCCTTAATATTAGATGATGGTATTTGTTTCTTGTTTTAACAAAATTAGTTTAATTGATTTTATGTGATTAAGTTGTTTCTTTATACAAATGTGTATGTGATAAAAAAATAATATTATCTTCATTTTTATACAACAATAATAATAACTTTAACCTTTTTTAAATGCATTAGTTAAATTAGTTAAATAAAATATATTTGATCATTATAGTTAATTAATTTAGGGTGAGATAAATATTTTATAAGCTGTAAATAATTTTGTTTAATTAATTAAAGGTAATCGTCTTAGGACGAACGATATGAGGTACTAATACCTTCCTTACACGTAACCGACTCCCGAACTCAAAAATCTGATTTTTGTAGACCATTTTCGATTTCGTAGTTTTTCTAATGTTTTTATATAAAAATAAACAATAGTGGTGACTTTATTGTTTTAAATTTTATTTTTGTCGTCCCGTTGCGATCTCGGTTGCAATAAAAATAAAAATAAAAATTATAGAGACAAAAATTAAGATTCTTTTATTTTGTAGAAAGTAAAAATATATTTAAATTTATATTAAATAATACAAAAGATATATAATTCAATGAGTGATTTAACGTCTCAACTGACTCACTATCCCATAATTTTTTCTAAGTCATGGCTTGAAGTAAAAAAAAAAATGCAATTGGAAACTTTATTTATTTCATATTCTATTAATAAGTCTCCATTTCTCATTATACGAATTTCTAACTTAATGTCATAGATTACAAATGTAGTTGAAATTAGGACAAAATTTAGATACAATATTGTTGATGTTATTCACTTCAATAATATGCATGAATATATAATATCGAGTTTTCATTTATATAAAATATATTATTAATATGAAACTCAAATCTGATCGAAAAACTATAACAAAAGTATCTACAATACTAAATGAAATTTTTTTTTTTGTGAAGTTATCAATGGATGATGGAGAAAATGAAGCTTTCGCCGATTTAATAATTTTATTAATATATTACTCCTAAGAAATATAATACATTAATAAATTATAATATAATATATGATTAAAATTTATGTAGTAACTTAAACAACTTAGGAAGAAATATACTAGTTATGTTATTTATGCATGTGAATTTTAGATTAAGTTAACTTAATGTTCATGAATTCCAAAATATATTCTTATTTATGTCATGAGAGACCATATATATATATAAAAATTAATGCAAAAATTATATTATTATTAAAATTCATTGTAAATAAATGTATCTGAGTACATATGAATCAAATTTTGAATTTATATTGAATAATTTGAATTGTATTGTAAAATTATTTTTATTGTTGATAATTTAAATTATTATTGAAATTTAGTGATTAAAAAAGCAGTATACGGATTGCGATTAAAAAAAACTTATATATAAAGATAAAAAATATATAGTTTGAAATGAAAAATTAAGGTAAATTTTTTAACTTAATGCAGAAATACTACGTGAACTACAATTATAAACAACTAGAAAGAAAAGAAAAAAAAAAAGATGCTTTATATCTCTATGTATTTATTTTAAAAAATAGAAGAAAAAATAATAAATATACCCAAAAAGTGAAGAGAAAATAATTAGATACCATATTTGTATTACTATTAAGGATGAAATGGTTCAATGAGAAAATTAAACATAGTTATCAACAAAAAAGTCTCCTTTATTAATAATATAAAATATAGATAAAAGAAAAAAAAAAGCATTTAATGTGTAATTAAAAAAGAAAAGAGAATAAGAGCAAATAAACTTGTGAAGCCAATACTCTTATTATAACTTTTTTACAGCATTCCAAATTACAAAAATAATTTATAAATATATCACATTATTATAAGTAAATTCAAAAAGTTAGTGGGGAGAATTGCCTCACACACTCCAATGAATGGATCCATGCATGTGATCAACCACACTCTTGTTTGATCTTCACTCACAGGCCACGATCAACAGACAAAAGTCCACGCACAATATCAAGTTACATAGCCACACACTTGTTCGTAGCCTAAACCCATCCAATTGAGAGATCTAAAACAAATTTTGAAGTTTTTTTTTTCGCTATAAATGAAAGATTTATTAAGAGAGTGATTTAGAGTTTAACTCAATTTTACATATTCAATAAGAATCACTCCTTATTTATACACACTAATATAACCATCTCACTAGTTTATATAAAATCTTCAACACACTTCTGATCTCTAGAATTCGACATCTCTAAAAGAATTTTTACAAGACTACCCATCTACAGATAGTATGATAACTACCAAATAACAGATAATTTGATAAGTTCAACAACACTCACTAAAATAAATTCTAATATCATCTTATAATAGTAAATTGAAATCTAACTCAAACCAAGAATCACTTACAACTTATATACACTATTAATGATCATCTCACTCATCGATATGAAATCCACAAGAGTTTGTATGTTGTGTTTCCTTTAAATGTGAAGTTATGTTGAGATGGAATGATTATTTGATAGTAATCGTTACGTTTATAACTTTGTTTCAACAACTCACTCCTTAACCGAAGAACTAAAGCCCTTGGTTAACTTAGTATCTATAGGAATAAAACGAATTAATTATTTCTTAGGCACTGTTAATAGCCTATCTACACATGATTGACAACGACACATCAATCATGAGCCAAGCTACACCAATATTTCACCCATTCCAAATGGTCCAATATTTCACTTGCTCCAGGAGCATGTTGCTCATACAAGTTTGTCCCAAAATCAAAGAATTAACACGTAAAATAAAACGAAAATTAGCAAGTTCCGAATCCATCTTCAGACAATCAAATTACACCACAAGGCATATCAAATCTCAATGCAACTATCTATCTTAACAAATAAAAGAAATGTTAACAAGCGTCTTTGCTAAAAAAGATAAATATCCATTTTTCATTTTTCACATTAAATCTTACAAGACATTTTTTACAATCAACAAAAGAATTATATACATCAAAAATTCAACAAATATTTGGATAGTCAAGCACTTCAAGTGGAATGGAGTACAAGCATCAAGAAGTCTAATTCAACGAGGTTTGTTAACATTGCAATAAGCAAACCTCCTTTTTGACCACCAACACCTAACTCAAGAAAATTGTATTCCCTTTTCTAAGGTAACATTTAAATATAGTATTAAAAAAAAAAAAAAAAAAAGCTAGAAATCATCCACTATATGAAACCACCAAGCTTAACCTGGACTGATAAGAAAACCAAAATAACTTCTGAATACCTAGTCACCATATAAAATAAATAAATAAATAAAAACTTTTCAACCAAACTTGCATTTAATGTAGGCAGAAAACTGGGTGAAACATGGCATTTTCATTCTAAGATTTCACTTGCACCTTAACAGTTAATCAAGTCATTCAATCAATCATCCAATCAATGTAGGCAAACACAAATCGATCAGAACCACTAAGGTCGACCTAATGGTGAAAGGTTGGAATAATATGCAGTCTTAACTTTGAACCCTATTGCCGTCGTTATAATTCCTATAAATAAATTTTAAAAAAAAATCATTCATAAATGACTAAGAATTTCCATAAATTTGACATTAATCCAAAATAGTTCTTCATCCTTGATTAACTCTTAAGAAAACTATTCCCTATCCTCATGTGTTGAGGCACTATAGTACTTTATGCCATCAGCATGTATCATATCATAGTATGTAGAGCCACACTGCAACCACTGGTTAAAAAGTCATACCTATATGTCACTAACAAGCAATGCATTTCTTACCCTTCAGTTCACTAACTTCTGCATCGACAAAAGAGAGGCATTCTTGAACATAACTACAAAACTACCAACACTTTGAAATCTAACTACATATTTGAAGCTTCTATACCACATTTGGTCACGATGTAGGGCTGTAGCGGAGATGCTGCTCATAGAAATTGATTAGCTGCAACATATGACAATACAAGGTTTAGGTGAAAAAGAGACCATAGCAACATTTTAACAAGGAAATAATCAAATTTAATTGTTCAGATTTGATCCCAGTTCCTATCTGATTCCATATTTCTGTTACCATTCTTGACAAGTTACCTTATTTACTCTATTCACTATTCAATGTCTGATTGTATAATCCTGCAATCAAGGATCCTATCATTATTGTATTTTAATTCTGATGATTATAAATAAAGGGCTGAGGAATCATTCTCCTCATGCATCCGGATTATTCTAAGTCTGATATTCAAGTGTAAAATGTAAAGGTATAATGGCAAAGGGTGCTTACAAGAATTGGATTGATCTTTTTTAGTTGGTCGTTGTTAACCGTAACTTCTTTTCCATCAGACCTACAAAGTTGACGAGATAAGGATTAGGTGAAGAAGCATGTCGAATGATTACTATATAATCCAGCTCACCATAAAAGTGATGTAAATGAAGACATTTAGGAACAAAATTGAATAACGAAGATGAAATCATAGGATCTCACAGAATGAAGTAATATAAGCCAAAAAGCAAAGAGTAGGTACATTTACTCAATAACTCACAACAAACTTATATGGCAGTTAGAACCATGGTATTAATAAAAACCTACTGCTTCCTTTGTTACTCTCCTTTACACATTCCAAGTTATTTAGCTTAAAATTATTTTAATATAAATCAATTCTCACATAAAAGTAACAACTTTCCTCCTCTCCAGATGCTTTTGAAATTAACAAAATGGCAGGCAGGATCAAGCTTCAGTCATGTTGTAGGCTTAAATTAAGTGATATAATCCTCTCCTTCCTATACATTTCTTCTCCAGACTTTCTACCTGTTTAGTCAATAAAGGAATCAAGCATCTAAGGGTCTGTTTGGTTTAAAGTAGGAAAGGGACGGGATTTTAATGGAAGTAAGGAAAGGAGTTAGAAATTTTGTTTAGTTGATGAGAAGAGGGGAGACAAAATAACTTTTTACTTGTTTGGTTCATAAGAGAAGAGGGATTTTAAATCCTTCCTCTCCCCTCCAAACCCCCCCAATTTTGGAGGGGAGCTAAAATTGAGCTGGAAGGGATTTTGCTCCCCACCCCTCCCCTCCTAAAAATGAACCAAACAAGACAAATTTTAAAAAAATCCCTCCCCTCCATTTCCCTAAAACCAAGCACTATTCAAGCAAAATATTAGAACAACTTTAGCTCAGTTATTTTAAATATAAATCATATGTAAAGATACTTTAATTTTGTTTTTAAACAAAAACACTATACTTAGCCTCTCTCTCCTCCTCTAGTGCTTCTGATGGTCCTTGCCCCACTAACTCACCCTCATCAATTCTTAGGCCCTCAACATTGGGCCCATTTTCTCCTTCCAATTGCTGTTAAGTGAAGTTACCCAACATATATATAAGTTGCACCTCAAGAATTGAAGCAAGCGATGTGGGATCTTCCCCTTCCACATATGCTTGATAGAACAGGCAAGCCAACCAGAATGCGTGACTTACCAAGATGGGCTATAGGCATAGATACTATGCTAGATTTATCTTAAAACTAATTAGCATTAAGTGAAGTTGCTTAATAGATATATAAGTTGCACTCCAAGAATTCAGGCAGGCAATGTGAGACCTTCCGACTTATATGTTTTTATGAATTTCTTGGTCACAAAGTTAAATTTCTTTGACTTTGTTTTGAAATATTTTACCTAAAATAAAGCCCCAAACATTTCGATGGGTAAAAATGGGTTTTTGAGCAAATATCATGGTAGCACACTAAAAGTCACTATTTTGGCTATTATTGCAACTTCATAGACGATATAGAAAACCACTCCACTATTTGAATCGCATAGCAACCCAAGGCCACTTTGCAATTCAATTATAGCATGCTATTGAGAATTGATGCCCTAGAAAGAAAATTAATTAAATAGATCATAGCCAATAGACCAAGGTAGTGAAAGCCCTAAGAAAAGCTAATGAAATTAAAAAGATTTAATCTAATTGGCTTTTAAAAAAATGGTATTAGAGGAAATGGAATGGCATAATTTGATCCATGTAAGTTGCAAGCCCTATAATTTTGAGAAAAGGTTATTGTTGTTAAAGGCTATATATGTTTACATGAATTTCTTTGAATCCAAAGTTATGCCCAAGGATTTCTTAGTCACAATGTCAGAGTTTTTTGATTCTCCGTGTTATGAAATATTCTACCTAAATAAAACCTCAAATAATGATGTTCCAAGGGTAAAAATGGGTTTTTGAAGCCAATATCATGGTAGCACACATGGTAGCACACTAAAAGTCATTATTTTGCCATTATTGCAGCCAATATAGTTGTTATAGGAAACCACTCCACAATTCAAATCTCATTGCTACTCGAGGCCACTCTACTATCCAATTATAGCATGCTATTGACTACTATATTTGATGCCCTAGAAAGAAAAGTAATTAAATGGACCGTAGCAATTAGACCAAGAAAGGGATAAGAAAACTTAATGAAAAAAATAATAATAAAAAGAGATTTTAATCTAATTGGCCTTTCCAAAACAATTAGTTTTGATGAAATGGAATGGCATCATTGATCCATGTATGTTGCCAACCTAACATTTTGAGAAAAGGTTATTGTTGTTACAGGGCTACAGATGTTACATGAATTCCTTAGAACCCAAAGTTATGCCCAAGTATTTATTGTCCACAATGTTAAAGTTCTTTGACTCTCCATGTTTTGAAATATTTACATAAAATATAACCCCACATAATGATGACCTAAGGGAAAAAATGGGTTTTTGAAGCCAATATTATGGTAGCAAACTAAAAGTCACTATTTTAGTCATTATTATAATTGCAATATCCAATATTGACTACTATATTTGATGCCCTAAAAAGTAAAGTAGTTAAATGTATCATATAGCCAATAGACAAAGATAGAGATAGGTTGAAAACACCTAATTAAAAAAAATAATCTAATTGGCCTTTCCAAAAAAAATTGCTTTTGACGAAATGGAATGGCATCATTTGATCTACGTATGTTACCAATCCTACCTTACGAGAAAATTTTGTTGTCGTTATAGGGCTATATGTTACATGAATTTGTTTATGATGAAATGGAATGGCATCATTTTGATCCATGTATGTTGCCAACCCTACCTTTTGAGAAAATGTTGTTTTAGGGCTATATGTGTTACATGAATTTCTTGGAACCCAAAATATGCCCCAATATTTCCCAATCACAATGTTGAAGTTCTTCAACTCATCGTGTTTTGAAATATTTTACCCAAAATTAAACCTCAAACAATGACGTTCCAAGGGTAAAAATGGGATTTTGAAGCCAATATCATGGTAGCACACTAAAAGTTACTATTTTGGCCATTATTGTTGCCACTATAGCCACTATAGAAAACCACTCAACTATTTGAATCTCATAGTGACCTAAGGCCACTTTGCTATCTAGTTATAGCATGTTATTCACCACTATAGCATGCTATGGATCATAGCCAATAGACCAAAGTAGAGAAAGTCCTAAGAAAACCTAATGGAAAGATTAAAAAAGAAAAAAAAGACTTTAATCTATTTGGACTTTCCAAAAAAATTGGTTTTTGATGAAATGGAATGGCTTCATTGATCCATGTATGTTGCCAACATACCTTTTGAGAAAAGGTTATTGTTTTTATAGGCTATATATGTTTACATCAATTTCTTGGAATCCAAAGTTATGCCCAAGGTTTGGTTAGTCGCAACGTTAAAGTTCTTCGATTCTCTATGAATGCATCACAATCACAATTGTGGTTGCATTAATTGCATTTATACACAATTTCTCGCAATGTTAAAGTTCGCAACAAAACTACAACCTCAATTTAAAACCTTGGTTGTTATGCCTTCTATCATAGATAATTTATTCTCGATACAATTTAAAATCACACTTGAATATATAATAATAGTGAGAAGTACCAAAGAACATATTTGTGTCTTTGTTGGGAATACCCTATTGGCCTTTTGGTTTTTGTACTCATTACTTATATATCTAATAATATTTCTTTGCCAACAAGCCCTTGGCTCAGGCATTTGATGCCCACATTTCCTTTTTTTAGTACTCAATACCTTTTTGTCCAATGATATTTCTTTGCCAACAAGCATTTGGCCAAAACCTAATGTTTGTGTGCTAATGGCACTTCCTCTCCCATTACCATTTCTTCCCTTCATCTTTCTTTTGGTACTCGTTACTTTTTTTGTCGAATAATATTTTTCTGCCAACAAGCCTCCAGCTTAGGCACATGATGCTTGCGTGCGAATGGCACTTCATCTCCCATTTCCCTTGTCATCGCATGGGACCTTCTCAAAGCCCATATCACGTTTGAGCATGAAAAAAGAATGTCTTCATTCATTCTTGGATATGTTTTAATGTTTATACATGGTTATCAATCCCACATAGCGCCGTAGAACGGGCCAACTACAAAATGGGATAGCATATAATAGGATGATGGCTATTAATACTATATGTATAAATGTTCAAAAATAGAAAAATTACTAAACTCATGAACTATTTGTGATAAATAATAAAAAGCCAATAGTACTTAAACATTGGCTAGGGTAGGAAAGTAAATCAAGTCTCCCATCGTGAAAAAGCTAGATTTTAACCCTTAGATATAATAACTTTGAAATGGATGGTGAAGATTTCTTTTTCTCCCTCCCTTTCTCAATTTGACCCAACCCACTCTTTCTCTTTTCCCACGAGACAACACTTTTTGTCCACATGGTTTGTGATTTGGCAATGAAAAATAGACAGAGTATTGTTGAATGCAAATCAAGAAATCGATCATGGCAATCGCAACATGCAAAGATAATAGAGTTGCAAGAGATAGAGTGGGAGTGGGGGGAGAGAGAGAGATGTCGTGAGAAGGAAAGGAAAAATAGAGAAAGAAATGGGGAAAAGGCAAGTGTCATCATCTACAATAATCGAAAATTGCTCTGGCGACATAATGCAACACCACCACCATCAGTGGTAAAATGCATTCTTGTGCATTTTCATATTCTTATACTCATTTTTCTCGTCATCTTCCCAACTTTTTCTCTTTAATTATCTCTTTGTTTGTCATCCTTTCTCTTTTCTCCATTCTATTTTGTTGATTTTCATCTATTGGTTGAATGGGTTTTTGGATTCAACAATGGTAGTAGAGAGGATTAGCCAAGATTGCAACACACTGATAATGCACTTATTCATTTATCCATTCAACAATAGTGCGTCATAATGCATTGATAGCACATACACTAATGTTAGATGCTCAACATGTGCATGTTGCACTTCAGTGTTGAGTAAGATGTACTCTATGGTTGGATTGAATGCTCAAAATATGCATTTATTCACCTGTCCATTTTATATGAGCCAAAATTTATATTTAGAGTGTGTTTGCATTATCATTTGCACACGTTCCGATACTTCCATATGGAAAAGCCTGTATCTAGGTGCATTCAAATAAACGGACGTTTGCCTCTCACAAACATCAAAATGACATGCACTTAAGAGCCATGTTTTGAAGGTCAATTCCATGACATTGGAGCATAATATTTACAATGAAAAGCACATAAGAGATCCTTACAAATGTAGGGGTCACAAGAGGGGTACAAGTGGAGGGACAAATTGAAAAAAATAGAGGGAGAAAAAGGGAAAATCTTAATTATCCATTTAAAATAATCTAGGGATTGAAAACTAATTTCCCATGATGGGGGTTATGATATGCTCTCCCACCCTAGCCAACATCTAGTAATTATACAAAACATACATGTAAGTAGCAAAAGAGGGTAACTAAGTAAATGAAACAAAATGTAGTAATTGACTAGTGGGAGAAAAATGAAAAAGGAATTTGATAGAAGTCAACACCAATAGAAGAGAAATAGGAAGCAAATTGAGCAAAGGAAGAAAAGAAAGGAAAATGGGTTTCAACTTGCAAGAGTGGGAGAGGAGAAAAAGATAAGTGGATTGTTGTAAAACAGAGAGGCTAGTCAATAAATGAAGTTGGTTGCTTAAACAAAGGTTGGGTCACACACAAAGGATACTAGGAGGAAGAAATAACTTGAAGAGGGTATTTTTCCCCTTTGAAGGATGATGAACAACTAAAATTCCCAAAATACCCCCATTATTGATGACTAGATGAGAGCATTTAAGGAATTTCTTTCAAATTTTGGAGTTGCACCTGCTCCACCACTTCAATTGCACCCACTATTCTACCTTGGGATAGTGGCCGCAACAGTCACAACATTAAATCAAGATGCTACAATCTCATTGTAGCACCATAGCACCCCTATTTGCTACTATTGACAACTAGGCTTATATATATCCAAGCATTAGTAAGCATTGAATTCAACTTGTAGACATCTTAGTTGCTCAACTAACCCAAGAATTGCAGACATCTTAGCTTCTCAACTACATTAATTTCCTCCTTTCTAACAAGAATTAAGCACCACATCCATCAACCGAAGAAAAAACACCAGCCATACGCATAAGAAAATTCAAGCTTCAACTTGTAGCCAAAAAGAAAAATGAAATAAGCCTCAACCACATAATAAATTTCAAGCTACATTAACATTTCTATCTATACTAATCATATAAGTATATGTTTTATCAATTAAAACAAAAAATAAAAGTAAATGATGCAAACATTTGTGACTGTCCTCATTCACTAACCAGAAGCTTGTTCAACTTTGTCTTTACAAAATATAATACAAAGGAGCAAGTATAAGCACAAAAATTGGTCTCATGAATCAGAATAATCATTACTGGAGGGTGGAAACACGCAACCAGAGCTAACATTTTTCCATTTCTAATCTGACAAGCTGTATCACAGGAAAAAAAAATCTTAAAAATAAACATGAGTAAAAATCAACCAATCTTAGCAGACATAATATGAAAGCTAATGCACAATGTTAATTGCTGAGTAACTTACCTTGAAGCGACAAAGGTTACTAAAACATCCTGTATTCCACTGGCTGCTGAAGCTGAATAGCCTATTGGCTTTATAATCCTTACAATATTGCTAGCAGGACTGGCATGATCAGTATTACCACCACTATTAGGATTCCTTGTTCGTGCTTGCTCAACTGTACCAACAGGCGTGCCAATTGGATTTTGAGTATTAGCAAGCCCACCAGCATGTGCTTCTTTCTTGAATCTCTTTACAGAACCAGATTTTCTCCGTTTGGCTCCTCGAACTGTGTCTGAGAAATCCCCCTTTGATGTACCATCCATTTGACAATTATTGCCTGAAGAAAGCTTATCTTCTTGAAACTGAATTGCAAGCTTGTCTATATCATTCCCATTGGCACTCGTAGCTTTAAGCTCACTAAGCTTAGGATCATAATCATTTTCCTCATTCCTTTCAATATTTTGTTGGGAACCATTTGCAGCCTTGTTAGCGTTACCATCTGTGGCCTTTCCAAGACTGTTGCCATCACCACCATTTCCCACTTCATCAGCAAAAAGCACAGTCTGAGGAAAGGCAGGTACATCATTAAGGATAGGATCATTAAGAGGAGCAGACTGTGTATGCTTCTCAGCTGTTTTAGTTGAAAAACGTCGAAGGCTGTAAGGAGTGCTAGAACGCTCCAGCCGCTTCTTGGGTTGAGTATGATGATGCACCACGTGCTTCCGTCTGCGCTTACGAGGTTTTCCTGACTTCAAGCTTCAAAACCACAATTTTAATTAAATATTTGTAAACAAACAATTTTTCACAATCTAGGCACATAAATCCAACCAGTTTCTGGCAATTGGTCTTTTTACCTATAACTTAAGCAACCTATTCACAATCACAGAAATACACAACACAACAACAACAAAGCCTTACCCCACTGGGTGAGGTCCGCTACATGGATTACATGACAATGATGCCTTTCGGCACGGTTAAAAACCAGAACTCAAATTCAAAATATAATCGAAATAGCCATTTCACATCCTTACTCAAAAAATCTAACATGGGGTCCAAAGAAAAAAAGTAAGAGTTTCATAAAAGAAAAAGTGAATACCTCTCTTCAAAAGCTTCAATAACATCAGGAACAGACTCTAGATTTTCTGGAGGCTCCCATGTGTTGGCTGTCTCGGGCCAATCACGCCTTTAAGTAATAAACAAACAAACAATAAGCAAAAATACATACATAAACATTTTCCCCTTTAGTTTCATCACAATACAGTCCAAAAGACTAAACAGCAAGAGGAGCACTCACCATTTGATAAAGTATTGCAGCTGACCCTGTATTTGCAACATTTGAAATCCACATTGTCAAAACCCCAAAAAGAAAAAAAAAAAAAAAAAGTCAGGCCAAACAACAACAACAACAAAGACTTATGGCAACATTAATCACAGACGCCATTAAACCAAAAAATAAAAAATCCCCATTGCAGATAAAAAATAAAAATAAAAACTAGAGCAGTAAAACAACTAAAAAAAACCATAACAGATAAAAAATGAAACAAAAAAAAAAAAAAAAAACACCCACACACACAAACCCAACAGAAAACAAGGAAAAAAACTTAACCCCAACCCCCAGAGAAGATTAAAAAAGAGAACTTTCTGACCTTGCGCACCCTCTTGCGACGAATAGCTTCAACTTCATAGAAATTCTCAGCCAGAACAACAGGTTGGTGTGCTCCTTCAGCCACATGAGGAACAGCACCATCCTTTCCCCCTTCATTCTCTTCCTCATCCTCATCCTCATCCTCTTCTTCTTCATCTTCAGAATCCTCCACAAGGGGTTCCTCACCCCCACTTTTCCGCAACTGAGTACCCTCATCTCCCACAAAGCTCTCAACTTGAACACCCCCAACATCTCCGCCACCCAAATCCGCAGCGTCGGAGGCAGCAACAACCTCGTTCGGAGCTTCCGAGGTAGCCTTTCGCTTCATTTGAAAAGAGGACCAAAAAGGAAGAAGCTTGAAGTGTTGTGTCTCGTCTTCTCCGAAGTGTATCTAGGCAGCAGCGTGATCCATCACTCTGCTTTTCTTTTTAACGCTTTTCTCCTTTCGCCCCCTTTTTCCTTTTCCGTCTCCTTTTTTATTAACATTTTTTCATTTTTATTTTTATTTTTTTTTATCCGTGTTTTTTTCGGATTCTAGAGGATTTTGTAATTTTGTTTCCCTCCCTGCCCCGCCAACTCTTTTTCCACATTTTTTTCTTCTCTCTTTCTACATTGCTTCTTTCATACTCACCTTACCCACAAATTCTTCTTAGATATAAAAATAAATAATATATATTATTTTTTTTTTGGTAAAACATCATTTTCAAATATATGAAAGTGTAAAATGTTACTCATTTTAGTTCAAGATTCAAATAGATATGCAACTTATTTAAAGACTAAGTTAACAATAAGTCATTATTTTTAGGAACTTAAATGAAAAATTTAGAACTTTCAAATATTATTTTTAAATTTTCTTATTTTTATAGACTAAAGTGTTAACGAGATGCATTTTCAAGAACTTAAATAATATTTTATTATATAATTTTTAATAATTTTTTTTATTATTGATTAAATAAATTTTATAAGATTACACAAGACACGTTTTTTTTTTCTGTCTTCTGTTACGGACAGAGGAAACTTTAAATTGTTTTATATTATATAAATAAAATATAGGATATAGGTATATTTTATTAATGATTTTCTTATTGATTTATCAATGAAATATTAAATGAAAATATATATTTAATGTATTCAAAATATAAAAATGTTTAACTATTAAACTTGTTGACTAAATGAAAAAGGAGTTACAGTAACTTATTCAACGGCCAAAAAATTGTATTGGTTTATTTGAATTCAATTCTTTTTGTTTTTGGGTAAGTTCAAAATTAGAATAAGTAAAAACTAAAAACAATTAATATTTTCTTTATTTAATAGTAGGAAAAATTATAAGATTGTTTTCCGGCATAATTATAAGATGTGAAATTATTTTATTCAACATCTTTGTCCAGTGTAATTAGATATGAGAATAGTTAGATTTTTTTACAAAATTAAAGTTTAAATCTGATTTTATTATTTATTATAATTTTTTTTACTGGTCTGACATGCTTTTTTTAAAGTCAATCTATTTAAAAAAATTATTTTATATTAATAATATTAATTAGGTGAATAAACTTAATTTTTAGAAAAATAACAAATTTATTTTTATATACGTCATTACAAGTTATTTTTTAATTTGTATGATAAAATATAATATAAATATTATTAAAATTTAAAATTTTTAAATATATACAATCTCATAAAGAAAAAAAAAAAGTGAATCATTTTTTATTATAAGAACAATTTATGTGCGAGATGTTGGTGTATATTTACACATATGTCATAAGCCTACAAAGTTATAATGAAAAAAATAATAGTATAAAAAAATATTTTAAATGTTTCCTATATCTAATTTAGTATATTCTAAATAATTAACTTATATTTTAATAAAATAAAATAGTTATAATAATAATTTGTAAACTAAAAATATACTTATTATGTATGAGGTAATCTCAAGATATCAAGTACATGTATAATGATAATAATAATACAACTCATGTACATCTATTACTGAAGTATAGTCGTGTAAGTAGGGATAACAAATATAATCGTACCCGCGGGCAAGGACGGATCCAGATTGAGAATAGTGGGGGCACTTGCCCCCACTACTATTTCACACATACATGTTTTTTATTTTAAAAAATAATATTTTAATAAAATAAATATATATTTAAATTATTATATGAATAAAATATAGATTTGTAAAGGAGATTTATTTATTTGATATCTGTCAAATTTTTGAAGGAAATTAATTCTCTTATGTGATAAAAAATACTTCTTAATAACGAATTAATTTTCTTAAAAGATTTAATTATAATATATATATATATATATATATATATATATATATTAATACACACATATATAATGTAATATATAAAAAA